GCTTGAAATCCACAACTATGGAATACGGACAGAATTCATTTCAACCCATTGAAATGGCACCATAGATTATAGAAATGTATATTAACGAAGCATATGTTGAATAACAAGCACAGCAACAATTTACGAACACAGTAGACCCTAATGCTTTGTCTAGAATACACAAACATTTAAGAAAGGTATTTGATTGGTATGTTCCGGTGTGTATATAGGAATGTTATCTGTACAACAACAATAAGGGTAGGATCTGATAAAGGCAAGAGGAACAGAGCCTTATATTTATGGTTTATGCAGAATTGATTTATTGATTGCACGGCTTGAATTTTTCCCCAGACACGCAACATCGATCGCATTTCGATAATTTATTGCCTAGGTAGGTAAGGGTATCATCCCAGAATTTCTTGGTCTTTGTCGCTAGCCGTTAGCTGTATGCCAAGATCGTTTTAGACACAGTGGCTCTTAACCTTCCTAACACTGTGAGCCTTTAATACAGTTCCCTCATGTTGTGGCGACCCCCAAATTATTTTCCTTCATTACTTCGATGAATATGTTTTTTTTTTTTTTCCGATGGTCTTAGGCGACCCAGAAAAAAAAAAAAAAAAGTCGCGACCCGCAGATTGAGAACCGCTGGTATAACAGAATAGGGCAGGCAGATTTTATCTTCCAGAATTGCAAATTGTGATAATTATTTTCATGGAAACAAGGATTTCCGTAAAGGCAACTTTCGAATAATAATCCCTAATAGGCAGGTATGTGGATATACAGAAGATTAGGTCGTATTTCACGGAAACAAAAGCTATCAAATGAAAAGAGAGCTGCTAGGTGAAATAAAAAAAAGAGACAAGTGAAATATTTTGGTCACATTAAAAGACATAACAGTATTCTAAAGATCATCCTAGAGGGAAAGGTTCAAGCTAGGCGAGCAAGAGGCAGACAGCGTTACAAGTGGGAGGATAACACCAAGAGATGGACGAGCAGCAGTATGCGTGAGTGTACATCAAGGGCAAGAAACAGGGCTTGTTGTAGATCCATTGCAGCCAACCTTCATTGTGGAGACGGCACCTGATTGATTGAATTGGCAGGTACAAGGACATAGGCACATGATCATCCTGAAAAAGAAAAGCTGATCGAATTGTCTTCTGATGTCGCTCTTGGTCCCGACAATCTTTATCTGAGTCTTGGATGTTCCTCGAAAAGGAATATCCATCTCTGAGTTATTGAGCTATCAGATTATTGGTCGTTTGTTTCGAAAGAGACTTTCTTAGCCACTAATAGAAATCGAATGGCCGTTATGCAGCGCCCCATCTATCAGAAACAGCGCTCCGGTTAAATATATCAGATTTGCCAACCTCTAAACAGCAACAGTATCTTGTAACTATGTGGTATTGGATTCAACTGATAGACTGCCATCTAAAATTTTTTTTTTTTTTTCTGAATTTGGTTAGCTTTCAGATGGGTGTAAACATTTTGAGGAACACTGGCTTGGCTTGTTTTACGAAAAGAAAAACCGTCACGTTCAACTAGCATTCCTAAAGGGGGAGCTTTAGGTTATAATTGTGACTAGGTTATGTGCGCTATGTAAAATGGCTTAGCATTGCACACCAGCCCTGAAAATGATTCTTGCAGTGTTGATGGGATCAAAGGATACAGACGCATTAACTGTCTCCACCGGCGACGAAGTCGTCTACCGGCCAGCCAGTGGGCGAACCAGCCGCCGATGTGGAGAAACACAGACGTCTAGGCGACTTATATGGCGACTGCTTTCCAGCACTTACCTTTTGCCATCCACTGCCGGCTTGTACACATTACACAAGACGTATGGTAATCTGGTAATCTTAGTTTCAGCTTCATACCAAACGGGCCACCGCATACATGCTGTTCTCCTGTACCAACGAAAAGCACAAAGAATGTCCACCACTGTCCCTTGTTGAAAAATTGACACAGAATGCAGTCTCAGCATGTCAACTAGCATACAGACGCATTAAAAACATAAGGCAGCCATCAGAAATGCTAACACAAACAGTCCGGCATTAGAAATGCAGTTCGTCATCGACGGAAGCAGCAGGTACAAACAGATGAGCAGTTGCAACACGCAATCAATTTTAATCACACAAGGCACCACCAGTTCTTTGGCAACAGGCATCGCGCCATTTTCTAAATCTCAAGTTCACAACACCATGTTGGTCACAGTAGAAAAACATTCTATATTAAATCTGAAGCTCACAATGTGTTGTTGTTCTTCTTCTCCTTCTTATTCTTCTTCTTAAGTGCGAGTTGGAAAGGAGTGGGAGAGGGAAGCTTCAGAGATGTGAATAGAGAGTGTGAGAGCTAATAGAAGAGAAAGAAGAAGAAGTAGGAGAAGAAGAAGAAGAAGAAGAAAAAGAAGACATGCGGTTCAATCCTCAATATATGCGAATAGTTCAGTTTGAATGTACTACCAGAACAAATGAAATGCCATTGGGAAGGAGACTACACAGACCTGATTTCTCATGTTCATTGAAGGGAAACTACCCCTGCACTCAATGATCACAAAAACACAGCCCCAGCGGCAGACATAAGGAGATAAGCTTATCGTGTCAATTCTTTTCTTGATTCGTTTTCACCAATGTTCTCTAGAGGCCAGTGGGGGAATACTGTAGGTATGGGCAGGTAAGCTTCTCAAGTTGTTTTAGCTGGGGTTTCTTTCGTTGGGGATCATTTTATGTTGCACACGGATATTTAATAAGATCTCCAGCCTTTCCTCATAGATCACGCAAACAAATCTCAGTGCACTGACACATAACCTCAGCGAGGATCCCACCTTTGCAAAGTTACCAGAGCGGGAAAAAACATGTATGAATAAATCGGAGCTTTTAAACAGAAAAGCCACAGACAAATTCTTGAAATACCAGGGACCAAGAAGAAGAAGAACGTTGACATCCTATCTGATTTGAACATCAAGGAAAACTTCTTATAAACAGCATCCTGCCCCGAAAGCCAAAGTATTTTGGCCACGTTAAACGCCATAGCAGCCCGCCGAGAACGGCTGTGGAGGGCACACTTTCCGGAAAACAATACTGGTGCAAATCTGCATGAAAGTGGATGCAAGACATTGAAGATGCATTGACTACGAAAGCAAATAGGGCTGGAGTATTGGCTAGAAATGGATAGAGACAGGTTACAAGAGCCTCTTTTCTCTCCCCGTGTTCTGTAAAAGACCTGCTGATGGCTTCATGTTGACCACACACCCATCGAGTGTCGATTGGTCTTTAGAATATAAGTCTAGCACTATATGCCCAACACGACTGGAGGCGTGGGAAGGGGATCTTTATATTACTTTATCTCCCTAACAACCATGTTGTAAAGAGCCACTATATAAGGATTTGCTAAATCAGATGTGTTGGGGCAAAAGTCACATAAACCACCGCCTACCAGCACAAAACAATTGACCAACAGCTCTTTTAAGGGTTAAGACAAAAGGAACAGGATTGAAAACAGGGGTGACCGCAGTCAAGCTAATACCAATTCTCTTGGCCGAAACTTCCCAATCTCTTGTGTTATTCCCCCCCCCCCCCCCAACCTCCCCATTTTCCTTCTGCTAACACACACTCAACACTTTTCATTAAACTTCTTAGTCATAGTTCAGTGGATTTATTTCTTAGAATCAGGATTGGCTTGTCTGAATTCTCCGCTCTAGATAATAGTCTAGAAACAGCCCGGCGCCTGTGATATTGCCTAGCTTATGTACAGCGTTTAACTAAAACCTATATGAAACCAGACGGCTTCCTTCGACTAATTACCATATGGTAATACATGAACCAGCAACTAACTGCTGCTTTAACTGGAGATATTGACGTATGAGTACCATTCCACTGTCTAGGGTCCAAATCTGCATCGGAGCGGATGTTTGTTTCAAAATTAACATTGGCGCTCAGGCGGACCCGGTCCAAAACATGATCTAGGTAATATCCTAGAAAATAAGGTATCCATTTCTCTAGCTTGCTCCCCAGCCCCACGTGCTTTCATTTCTAGTGCATCTTCATTATCCTGTATTCATCATCGCGGAGGTCGACCCCTGCCTCGCCTTCCAAAAACTGCACCTTCCAACACCGTCTTTTCCAAGCCATAATGACGTTTTATGGGGCCTGTTTATGAGCCAGTTCTCCTGGAATTTTTAACTCGTGTAGAATGCCGATGTTTTTCCTCTAAACATTAGAGTAAGTCAAAACACCATTTATAACGGTTTACATGAATACGGACTGGCTGCTCGACATCCTGTAGTCAGAACATCTATTACTCCTACTTGTCGAAGACTCCCAGGTCGACCCAGCCTTGAGTGGGTACCAGGTGCAGTCCTGGGAAGTAAAGACGGTCTGCGTGATGCTGACCACAGCAAACACCAAGTATAGGTCTAGCCTTATATTCCCAATACGCATAAGGCGTGAAAGGTAAAGTCGGGAGATGTGAACCAGCGTCATTGCACACTGTTATAGCCCATAAGTGCTCTGCCACCAGTACGGACAGCTGTTGAGAAACTGTCCGCCTGTGTTGACGTCCGCACCCACCTCCGTAGCAACAGCGTGTTAACTCTGGTACCCATTACCTAGAGGCCGTGTGAACCCCGGAAACGGCCCGGTTTCGAACACCGGCCGTGGGCTGCAGCGAGTCGCAGCTGGATTGAAAACGAGTCTCCTATCGACTGCGCTAACACGCCCCCTAGAAGGGACCTTTACTTTTACTATCGAAAAGCCCAAGCTGCTTGGGGACGCGAGCACATCCAGTAGATAAGACGACAGTGGAGTCAAATACTCTTCACTGATGAATGTCACGCCGTGTCATTTTTGTATTCACTAAATGCCGTTTTCACTGATATTAGTCACGTTTCAATCAGATTGGTTTTATGGTTTCCGCTCCCCAAAAATTCTAAGTGACCCTTGACTTTTGACGAGTAGCATAATTTGTCTGTAGCCACACTTGAATCTGTCACGGTCAGACCAATGAGAGATAATTGATTTGCTTGACAGATTAACCCCGGTAGCGTATCTGAACGATGCGGTCTGAAGCCAGGCGACGCCATTCTGTCCATCAACAACGCCACCTCTGATGCAATGACCCACGACGAGGCCAAGGCAGAGATAATGAGGTCCGGGGACCAGATAATCATGCTCGTTGAAAGGTAAGTTGACATTTATTGGTTTGGTTTATTGGTTTATTCAACATCTTGGCACACGGGTGTAACCCCCAAAAGTGCTCCATTCTACTTCTAACTCAAGCCTGAATCTGAAGATTCTCAGCGCAGTGCACGGACTCCGTTGCACCGGTGAGGATCGTGAAATATTTTGGGTATATTGTGAACTCCAAATTTTTGCTTGGGCGGCGCCGTTAAGCTACTGTTTTCGATTTCCAAGATTTTTTTTTGGTTGCATGCGCAACAATACATACGGGCATCCAACATTGCTTCCCAGAGGTTGTTGCGTATCCTTTACAGGACGTTGCAGAGCCTATTCTAGGCAAATTTACGTCCAGTAGTTTGCCATTACTCTGGACGGTCGGCTTTCTTGATACCACTGTCGAAACCAACGCAAGGCGCATGGCCCGCAGATGGGATCGAACCCGGCATTACGAAGCGTTCGTATCGACTTAGCCACAGAGCCAACCATCCAGCAAAGGACTGGCACTATTAATCGCGCCACGCTGATGGATATGTTGAGAGGGGAATCTGGACCCATGGATGTGTCCGGAGTGCTGTGAAGATAATCCAGCTCATAACTCAATCACGGAAAATAGGAGGGGGAGGGGACATAATGACTTCTTCTTCTTCTTGTGTTCGCTTTCTGATTTACACCGACAGATAAATTCTTGTGATAAAGTTGACTGTTTTTATGAGTTCATTTTTAGTCCCATACAACTTTGTGTACAGTGGTGACTCACCGGGCCAGAATTCCCTTATTAATGGGCTGAACAAGGGACAGTCTTGCAGGACATGTTCTGTAGTCTGCACACATAGCCCACAAGGGCACACAGGTGAACTACTTAGACGAAGCCTGTGCATATGCTGGTTAAGTTTGTTATGTCCTGTCCTGAGACGTAGGACAATGACCTGCCCATGCCGGTCAAGTAAGTGGTAGTCATCTCTGGCCAGACTCTGTTCACTTCTAATGGCCTGGATGGCCCTTTTCTTCTCATAGTATGCTACTGCATTCTCTTCCTGGTCACATTCTGCCCCTTTCTTAGCAAGTTTATCTGCGGTTTCGTTTCCTGGTATACCACAGTGGGATGGTACCCACTGGAGTATATCCACTTTTGGGTAGCCACCTTGCCGAGTTCAGATCTCAAGTGAGAGAGTTTGCCACTCTTGAGGGCTTGAAGCACCGATAGCGCATAACATAATGACTCAAATGTGTGTCTTAACGTTAAAAACATGTGTATACATGTGTGTGTGTCAGGGCGGAGAGGGGGGGGGGGGCGCGGAGATGACAGGAAATTTTCCGCACCGGGTATCCCCTGACCGTGAAATCCCAGTCACTAAATTTTAAATATAAATAAATAGTCGAGCTAAATCCGAAAGGGTCGACTTTATTGCACCAGGTTTTATCCCATTTGGCTCGGTCTCTCTTGGCAGTATGTCTAGCCTCCTGGCGAGAGGATTATAGAGAGTGTGAACTCCGAGGCACCAGCGTCGATCCCCTGGGATCTGCGCGACGGGACCGTGAAAACGAAGCCACGACCTTTAGAGCGGGAGGCGAACGGCTTGACCACTTCGCCTTGGAGACCCTCCTCTTCCCTGCCCTCCCCCTTTCCAAGTTTGTATACATGCAGACGTGTTGAAAATGGGGATGACTACAGTCAAGCTGATAGGAACAAATGAGTTTATTAAATACTAGGGCTGTACCGAATAGTGGTTTTCACTATTCGGCCGAATACGAATAGTGTATCATCATCATCAATTGCCTCGCCGACTGGTGTGGCGATTTTGCCTCGCCACAATCTGCGATCTCCTGCAGCATGTATCAGTTTGTGTGCTGACACACCTCCATGTCATGCAACGACTGTCAAGAATCTTCTCTCGTTGTCTTTTTCTATCTATCCTTCCACAAATCTTTCCAGTGATCACCACATGTTCCATTTTCACTCTTTCTATACGATGGCCGAAAAATGATGACTGTCTTCTTCTGATGTCTGCGATTAGTTGTCTTCAGGCTCTCGCCTCTTTCAAAACCTAGTGGTTGCTTTTTTTAAAGGCTGTCCAAGGTATTTTAAGCATTGTTCTGTAAAACCACATCTCCGAGGCCTCAAAAAATTGTTTGGCCTGGTTCCGATTGTCCAGGACTCATAGCCATATGTTAAAACTGGATGTATGTAGCAAGCAAGACAACGATATATTGCACAAGATGTTCTTTTTTTTTTTTTTTTTTTTTAAATGCAGTTTTTGACTGACCTATTTTTTTTATTTTAGTAATGCATCTTTCATCTGATTTTATCCATGTGCCAAATTCGCATTTAAATCATTTTTCGTTCAGGCGTTCGTTCGATGTAATTTAAATGCACCTCCATATTCTCGTGTGCAATATCTTCAATTTGATTTGGGGAAAAACACCCCGAAAGAACAAACAAATGCATGCTCTCTCTCTTTGTCTCTCTCTCTCTCTCTCTCTCACACAGAGAGAGAGAGAGAGAGAGAGAGAGAGAGAGAGAGAGAGAGAGAGAGAGAGAGAGAGAGAGAGAGAGAGAGAGAGACACTTTCAAGTTTCTTCATGCCTTCTTTAACACAACAGTAGCGATGCCTAAATCTTTCGTAGCCGGAAAAACGGCGACCCGTTTGCGTGGTAACAGCGCCTGACTCCGGGGCATTACAGCAGAGGTTCTAAAACTGGGTGCGTATGACAGTGGTGCAGCGTCGAAAATCAAGAAAAGTCGGCTATAAATTGTGACATTATTAATGAGAGTTGTTTTAGTCCATCGCAGTGTATGCAGAAATCACTATTCGTATTCGGCCCGACCGCCACTATTCGGCCGAATACCGAATAGCTAGTAGGTCCACTATTCGGCCCCGAAGCGAATACGAAGCGAATATTCGGTACAGCCCTATTAAATACATATTATGACAGACCCCAGACACAAGACAAACATCCCGTTACAATTTGAGAGTTGGGGTAGAAGGGTTGTTCGCTGAAAGGACGTTAGCCTTGCTAATATGGTTACTTTAAGCGACCTGTTTGAACTGATTAAAGATGTGCTTGTAATGTTTTCTGCACAGATTTTAAATACTTACATGTCAGTTGACAACAACTCAGTTCCCGTTGAAGTAGTTAATTCCATTTATACTGTTTACATTACTTTTTCATGTCATTTCATATTTTTGTTTTAAATTCCCCTCAGAGGCGCTGTGACGATCTGGAAGCCAAAAGTTACACCACTAAACGACCTTCGCCCCCAGGAGCTGAACACAATTACTTCCGCCACCGGGGAAGACTTTCAACCGGTACAGAAAACCTCATTGGCCATCAACAAACCACCAGATGTAAGACTAGTTGCTACTGGTTTTCTTCATGTTGCTTCTGTGTTGGGTAACGGACCCTTTTCCACGCTTTCATGCCAATTGTGCATTGAGGACTTGACCTATATTTTTATAGACCCGTCAGAACTCAGTGGACTTTGTTCCCAACATCCTGACAGCCGCCTTTACTTCTCAGGACTTTACCTGGTACCCTTTGAGGTTAGGTCGACCTGGGAGCCAAAGTCAGTTTTAAAAATAAAAATGTTCGGCTCTGTCAGGAACTGAATGAACTACTTTCGGAATCCACAGGTGAGTGTCTAGACACAAAAACCCCACGGCTTCATGCTTATTTTTCTTAACTGTATTCCTCACCTGGAATTGAAGTCTCAGGGGTTTAGATCCAGTGACTCAAAGAGCCACTTTTCATATTCTATTCCTAACAAGCCTATCATAAAAGGTGATTCATTCGGGGGTTTTCGTCTAAAGACAGAGCACATCTGCCTGAGAGGTGAGGAACCAACAGTCTGCATACAGATGCAAGATCTATAACATGGATGTGCTTGCCAAACTGAAGTTTTGGAATAAGACTAAAGTCTAGAGGTGATGGTGGGAGAACAACCAGAAATTTCTGCCTGAGTCTTCAGCTGGTGAACATGAAGAAGAAGAAGAAGAAGAAGAAGAAGAAGAAGAAGAAGAAGAATGCATCCTTCATATTTAAAGAAAACTTAGCATGTTAGGTAAAAGAGTTCCTAAGTCGATGCATTACAAGGTTTCTTACTTTTCCTAGAAAATAAATACTTGTTTTAAATTATCAACTTGTAAGCTTGTTGTTTTCGAAACGTATTTACAACATGTGGTTATGGATTAGAGCTTAGCCTATCGTCACAGCACTGTGGATGCATCCATAGGTGCTTTGAAACAGAAGTGGCATAACCCTGCAGACAAAGCTTAAAGTATACAGAGCAGCTGTATTAACTACACTGCTGTACGCATGCGAAACATGGACTGTATACCAGCGCCAGGCCAGAAAGTTAAAACACTTTCACACAGTCTGCCTTAGAAAACTAATGCAGATCAGATGGCAAGACAAATTACCTGATACCGTAGTCCTTGAGAAAGCAGCCATGCCCAGCATCTACACTCTACTGATGCCGTATCAGATTCGTTGGGCTGGTCATGTGGCATGCATGCCAGATCTCCCAAAAAAACTCTTCTATGGTGAGCTGCAAAATGGGAAACGTTCCCAAGGCGGGCAAAAAAAAAAGGTTTTAAGGACACCTTGAAGTCTTCACTCAAAGCATTTGGGATGAATGACACCAATTGGGAGGGCTGCCTCTCAAGACCGAAATGCATGACGTGCAACTATAAACAAGGGCGCGGCTACATGTGAAGCAAACAGAACAGCAAAACTGAATAAGAAAACGATGGACAGAAAAGCGACTGCAGGAAATCCCCTCCCTGGCACAACACTCATTCCCTGTCCTCACTGTCCAAGAACTTTCAGGCCCGCATCGGCCTCATCAGTCATCTTTCTACTCATAATTGATGAAAAAGAGTGGTCATCATCATCTTGATGGACAACACATACAGGTGCTTCAAAAAAAAAAACGATTGATAAAAAGTCTTGTACTCTTAGTGAAAGGTTCTTGTCTGGCAGTTCCTTATTTTACCTCCATATT